TTTGAACAAAAAGGAGTCCGAGCTTCATAAAAAAGTCGGCAAAAAAGGATTCTATTCAAACATGCCTTGAAACCATACGTTAGGAATTTGGAATCACCATTAAAAGAAATAAACTTGAAAGCAAGGGAAGGGAAATATATTCTAGCTCAAAGGGTAACTAAGCACAATGGATCAAGGGAATTTTGGTGAAAAGCAAGAGAGACAACCCGAAATAAATTGTGATTTGCATAAGCTAAAAATTGAGGGGCTAAAGCCACGGGGCCATCGCACTTGAAAAGAGTTGTGGTAGTAGAAAGAAACCTAAACCTAATTGTGGTACACCCGCAACAAATCACATACTTACATAGCCACAAGAGGTAAAAAACCTAGTTCTTGAAGATCTTGATTGAAAAAATGAAGTTTTAAGTGTGTGATATACGCTTTCACAAACTACCTTAAGAGGGAGACATTTTTTATAGGATACACCACTAGCAGCCTCAAGCTCGAAAACAACACAAGTCTAGTCACTCGTTAATGAAACCATATCATCCAAGGTAAACCCTATAAGACCCCTCTATATAAGGATATAACTAGTGTCCCACCAAAAGATCATGGCTACCAAGAGAAGGGCATTTGGAGTCGAGCATAGTTCAATGTAAGATCCAAGTATATCCGTTATATATGCTCAACCTATCTCACTTTTCTTGAATACGAGGCTGATCCCTCAAAGAAGAATACGAAACATAAATCTCACTATGGCCCATAGGCTTTCCGGAAGGACGTCTAGAATAGTCGGCAAAGTTTGCTTAGTGTATATCACAAGCAAACTTTAAGCCACACAAAATCTTAGTTTTTGCATTAGGATCCGAGTTCTCTCAAAAGACTATGAGCCATGAGTAAGAAGTCCTTGGACCAAGAATAAAAGACAACAAAAAGATAGAAGACTTAGGAAGGTCGAAGGCAATCCCCCAAGGAAATGAGAAAAAATGGAAGGTTCCATTATAGCGAGTTGGCCTTTTAGATGAACTTGGTCATAAAAAATGCTAAATTGAAGGGTAGGAACATGCGAAGATAAAATTAGAAGAGAAGAACGATTGACTTCTTCGTTGGAAGAAACAGATGAGGATTTTGGAAGAGCCATGAGAATTTCACAAGGTTAAGAATGTGAGAAGACACAGAGAATGTAGACTCGAGGCCAAGAATGTTACCGACATTACCTCGTACTCAAAATGCAATAAATGTGAGACACTAATCCTCATGTGCTTAACTCTAATTATAAATTTATTTGAAAAATATTTGGCAACCAAAGACTATTTAATTTTGAAACTCATATCAATTCATTTAATAAAACTCATTACTAGAAATTATTTCATTAGTTTTCAAAACATCATTATACAAAACTCATTAAACTATTAAATCAATTTTCATTAAAAATAACAATAGTCTTAGATAGTCATACTAATTATTTAAATAACCACATAAGCTTTATTAACTAATAACTGTTTTATTTATCAAACCTCCAATTTATTGGAAACCTATAGGTTTAAAGTTTAATTAAACACCATAACTTAAACTTCTTGAAATTATGGTAATTGGAAGCTATTTCAAGTTTAAGTTTCATAAACACTAATCCTTCTTTTACTTCTAGACTTGAATTAATTCCTTAAAATTTCTCCTTCAAAAAATTTGTCTCCCAACTTGAAATTGAAGTTGAATCCATTGATTTGGAGGGTTTAAAATTTATTGGAAGTGTTCGAGTGAATTTTAGAAGGAATTTTTGCAAGGATCTCCCTTGTGTTTTCTTATTTTCTTGACATTTTTAATTTTTCCAGCAATACTATTTATAGACCAAATTCGTATACTTTTTGACTTGATCTTCCCCCTTGATTTCGGTGAATCTCGACTCTTAATTTAATTTCCAATCACAAATTTTCATTTGGCTAAATATTTGGCAATTTATCCTTCATTTTATTTAATGCATCAATCTTCCTTAATTTTAGCCACAAATTTTAGTGGAAGTCGGACTCATTTATAGCACTAAGTTGGCAAATTTTGGTGGAAAAATAATTAATTTTGGTCTCTCAAATTGTTAGAAATTTACATGGCTTATTCTTTCCCAAACCCTTCATTTTTTTCCAAATAATCACTCGTTAATCATCCCTTTTTAGTCTTCAAGGCCAAATTTTGGCTCTCAAAATTTTTGCATACTTTAATTTGAGAACTTAAACTTTTAATTTTGTGCAATTAAATCTTAATTTTATGCAATTTAATCCCTAGAATCAAAATTACATTCTACACTTTTTAAAATTCCAATTTCTTTCCAGAATAAATTCAAATATTTCTTAATAGAATTTTATCTAAATTTTCATAATTTTATAATTTCATTTATGCCTCCAAATAAATTATTTAGTTTAAAAATTACACTATTTCCTATAAGAAATATTCCCTATATTTTGAAAAATTAATTAAAATTTATCCGACACTCCTAAATACCCCGAGTGATTTTTCCATGCCCTTAAAAAAATTTTTCATCCCTTTAAAATATCTAATTTAATTTTCCTATCTCTAAAAAACTATTCCTATGCATAGAATTTCAAAGAAAATATTCACATCGCATGGACAAATTCACATAATCACATAAAATAATACAACATCCCTCTAAAAAATATTATAAGCAAATAAAACATTTTTCATGCACAAACAATGTGCTTTAATTAATTATTTCAAACAAAAACTATTATTTATAAACCATAAAATCAATAAAATATTCCTTAAATATGGAAAAACTATTTTAACGATTCTAAATGTTCTTTTAAGTTCCTAAGGATTATTTCAAACCTTAAAATCTGTTTCACATGTATTTAATATTAAATTTTTATTTAAGTCAGCTTTTAACGAATATCGGTTATTACACCTAATTTGTGCATGAAGAATTTAGTGAGTTGCTTCAAGTTACAACATTGGAGCTCTCTCTTAAAACCATAGAAAGTGGACTCTAAAGTTGGATATAATGTGAAAACCTCATTTAAAAGAACATAGATGGCTATTAACTAGTGTACTAGTATTTACGAGGATAACAAATTCTTAGTAACAATAAAACATGACTGCAGCATGAGTTAGGAAGAATATGGAGACTTTAGCCTAGAAGAACAACAAAGCAAAGTATTGCGAGTACAAGAAAAGAAAATACGAATACATTGCAAAATAAGTAAAAAGGAACATGAAGCACTACAACCTGCATTGAAAGGAGTGGCCCATTACTAGAGGTCATGCCAACAAGAAGCCTATAAATACCAGCTGAAGCCTAAGAGAAAGACACATATAACAATATAACAAACAAGCATACTCTTGCAAACGGCTCAAGGAGCATTATCAATCACAAGTTTTACACTTAAAACTTGTTAGACAGACAACTCGTAGGTGATAGATTTGTAGGTGATAGCTTGTAAGTTGGTAATTGGCCCTCCAAACCTCTCGTTTATGCTCACATCCACTATCCTTTATAGTTTCTCCGTCCATTGTTATGTCTAGAGTGTGATCTTGTGAATCCTCACCATTCTCTTTTACTATAAATTCGTTCAATTAAGCGTTGTAAAAGATCGCAACACTCGTTATCATTTCATAAGATTTTTAGTTTATTAATTTATTGTTTATTGTTTCAATATTGTTGCTCTTATTGTTATTCACTAGCTTTTGGTTTGAGTTGTAGTATTGCAGGAGCTGAACGTTGCAGACAAGACAATAGCACAATTTTTAGAGGTTAAAATGATTTCTGATATACTTGCTGCAGCCGAATTCAGTGCTAATATTTTTCAGTTATTACCTCTAAAATATCATCCTATGATGGCAGCAATCTCTGCACGAAAGCATCATGTTACCTTTCATGAACTCTCAGGGAAACTCATTGCCTACGAAATGCCGCTCAAGAGTTAAAAAGAATTCTGTCACTACATCAGCTAACATGGTTAGGCAGGGTTCCCAAAACTCCAACTAGAAAAACAGGTTCAATCACAACAATTTTCAGTACCAAGGTTCTGGTTCCAATCAGAGAAATAACAATGGCAATAGGTACATTAAGATTTCCTGCGACTTCACAATCATGCTGCCAAATATTGTAGGAAGAGGTATGACTCCAACTCAGACTCTCCAACCGTCAACATGGTGACAAGCACTAACAACAATGCCACTTCTGATTGATATTCAGACACAGCCGCCCCTCACTACTATGAGTAGTCTCAGTAATTTGAACGAGCTCAGGGTACAATGAGTCGTGTTAATAATTTGAATGAGCTCAGGGCCAAATTCAATTCTCCATCCTTTTGGATCCAACGTCCATTTATGATAAAATTGAGGATCGTATTTCCCTTGAATTTTAATTCCTAATAAATGAACCACTTAATTGGCTTACAAAACTCAGCAAATAACATGACTTCCATGATGAATTTTCTATAGCTTAGAAGCAAACACAGCACACCTATCTCAAATAGAAGTATTTGAATGATTGTTGTCTTTCTATGGACATTATCAACCTTTTATCTTAAAATATCTTATGACCAAATTGATAGGAGTCCCATAAAACTAGATGACCATTCCTTTTTTCTTTTCTTAATTTGTTTTTTTACCCAAGCATCACCTATAACACAACTAACCCTATGTTTAATTCTCCCACAAAGCATATCAAGATCCAATTTCACTTTGTAACGAATCTGGTATCCAAGACTTTATTGCAACTGCATTAAAAACAGAGACAAAAGAACAATTCACTGCTTTTATTTTGTGGTTTGCAAGTAGGAGAACCGAACTTCTTTCGTTCTTTGTTTGTTGAAAAAGCCTATTCGAACTTCAATGGATTCCCATGCTCGCTCGAATCTTATTACATGATGACCGATCACAAGTCGACGCAACCACCACAAGGGACCTTACAGTCACGCTACAACCATTCCCCAAACTTCCTAATAATCTAAGCATAAAAAGGCAAACCCATTTTGCAGGGAAACAAGAGTTTGACAATACAGAAGAAATCATACAGCAATATTATAACGAATGTGCCTAAGAAGCACAGGGATTACAATATCCGGGGAGCTCAACTGAGGCAGGTGTCCATCTGATGACATGACTTCAACAATCGACTCACCACCAATATTTTGGTGCAAATATTCAGAGGCAACCACCGGCACAGCCAAGTCCTTCATGCTCTGCAGTATGTGGCAGGGCACTGTGACCATATGGAGGATTGACCTCAAGTCACTCTGGAAGATGGTCTGCGCCACGCTAAGGGCTATGTCCGGTCTCATATTGAAGAGGGTGCGGCTGAATTCTTGCACTGCCACGGAATCCATGTCTCCACCCACGGCCAGTGGGGCAAAACCTGAACACCATGCTTTGTAATTGTTTTGCATTGCTTCAAATAATTGGTCTAAATCTTCTTGCTCAAATCCTCCATAATAATCAACATCATTCAGGTACCTAATAAAAACAAAATTGAAAAGCCAAAATTTCACTATCGATTTTGTTTTTTAGTATGACTGGCGGTACAGTAAAAGATCCCTATTTTGCCTAGTTGGTAGCCCACAAATCCAATCATGAAAGCATACCTAATATAAAATCATCAGGCTGAACTCTTTCAACCACCTCATTCTTAGGGCAGAAAAAAAAAAAAAAAAAAAAAGAGACAACTTTTTCAACTACCAAACTGAAGTGGCAATATTAATTTTTTAAAAATAGAAATATAAAAAAACAAGAGAGCGATCCATAGCAAGTTGCAGCATGTGTGAAAGAACTAAAAATGGGCACCATAATCCATAAATTAACCGATGCATAGCAATCAAACCCCACAACCATAACAGGTGAAGTGATTTTAAAAAAATTAAATCAAGGCAGAGGAACTTAGATAGACGTGTCTTGTTTTAAATAATAGACCATGGCATGACGTATATTTTAACTACTAGCAAATTATTTACCAAGACAAGATTGTTTTCTAATTGCGCAAAACTTGATCAATAATATTATTGTCTTACTTACTTTGTGATTAAAAGCACTAATTAACAAGAACCATGGTGATCCAATCTAATTATGAACAAACAAATTAGCTAAAAAGTTTTGAGGTACATAATTACATACCTTGGAGAAGCAGAAAGCATGACAATTTTAGAAAAGAGATCAGGGCGACTGATGGAGGCAATAGCACCAACCATGCCAGAAACAGAGTGACCAACAAAAATACAAGACACGACTTGTAACTCCTCTAAAATGGCAAGCAAATCATAAGCATAACCTTCAAGAGCTGAGTACCTATTGAAGTCAAAGTAATCTGGATTTGTAGTACCAGCACCCATGTTATCGTACAAAATAACTCTGTACTCATCGACGAGGTGTGGAACCAAGTGTTTCCACACAGACTGATCCGTCCCAAACCCATGAGCCAAAACTATCACTTGCTCTCCTGACCCCAAGATCTTCGCGTTATGAGCTTCTTCCACCACACCCATTTTCCTTTTGATTCTCGGTGGCTTCGGTATCGGATGGGTTGTGTCTTATTAATGTTATGCAAGTAGTAGCAGAAGTAGTAGTAGCGTAGGATCTCTCCTGGTGTCGTTTTATACATCCATTGACGGAATTGGAAAGGGCTGGAACGGGCAATGGAATAAGGACCATATATGTGTTGATATTTTATGATAACATTATTGGGTTCATCTTGGGTGTTATTAATGACATAGTGTAATAGTCGGGTTTGCGAGCTTGTATGTCAAATCAAACGGTTGTGCTCAGATCATGAATTCTTAATTGCGGAGGTGAGAAGTAGAGATGCAAAAGATACTATGAAAGGGTTGAAGTGGATAGTTTGGTGGTGTATACCGACTTTGCAATTGCATTAAAAGGAACGACTAGCTGTATCCAAACTCCAAGCCAACGCACACCATCACATTAATCCAGTGAGCGTATCTAGTTTATTTACCGTTCCCTAATTGGCTTGCCGCGCTACATACGGATTAAATTAGACATATTTATAAGAATTTGATTTTCGATCAATTAAAACATGTATAAAAATTACATAAATAATAATAATAATAATAAATCAACAATCGATATAATAACTTGTATAAAAATTAAAAAAATAAATCTTTTTTATTTTAGTTTAATGCTGATGAGAAGAATATTTTTTTAAAAAAATATATACATTTGATTTCTATATATTTATTTACAAAATAATGAGTACTATTAGTATAAAAATTTATATTTAAATTATTAGACGATTCTTCTACAACATTATTTTAATTATTTTATTTTAAAAAATTATTTTTAAAATATTAAAAAAATAATAGCAAATGGTTGATGTTATGTATAGTTAATTTTCAATAAAATCAATGACTCAATTTTTTTTTTTTATATATACATTATGACTATAATCAAAAGTCGAGTGTATAGCATAAACCAAAATATATTTTTTAAAAAAATTAATTCGTAAAAGAATATATTAATTTTAATAAAGAGCAATAAAAAAAATTACTATTCTAATAAAAACTGATTATATAAAGAATAAGTAAATAAAACAAGTTAATTCTATTTTTAAAATTTGACTATATAAAGAATATGCAAATAAAAAAACTTATTAGAAAATTCATAAATAGAGAAAATAAATCATATTTATTAACAAATAAAATTACATTAAAAAAGAAGAATAAAAAATTAATTTGATGAAAATTTTTATCGAATTTAAAATTGACAAGATCAATCTTAAATAATAAGAGTGATATAATTCGATATATATGTTTATTCTAAAATTTAAAAACATATTATATGTATTCTATAATCGTCAGCTTATGTAAAAAATAAAATAATGTTTGATTTTTCATAATTTTCACACCTAATTTAATAATAAAAAACATAAATTAGTGAAAAAAAAAAAAAAAGGCATGTGTGCTTGGCTTCTGCAAGCCCAAAGTAAGTCTACGAGTTTGGGTTTGTAGAAGCAGGGCCAATGCAACCTGCGCCCTTGAGCTTGCAATAGCTCACGAGACTAAATATTTCATTTTAAAACATCAGAAATCAAAATGGAACACGACGTAAAATTCAATTATGAATATCGAAAAATAAAATAAAAATCAGAAAAATATGACCGTTAGCTACAATGTGTCCATAGTGATGTGTGAGGGGAACAGTGAAAATCACTGTTTATTTTCTTCCCTTCTTTTAATTGTTTTGTATAATTAGGTGATAAATAAGAAAACAAAATTGATAGTGCAGCCGATTTCCACACCTCGTGCCTTGCTTTTAGTAGCCTTTTAGAAAATCGGTTTAATATATATATATATATATATATATATATATATATATATATATATATATATATATATATAAGCTTTTTAGAGAGGTATTTTAAATTTGGTTCTGATCACATAGGTGGGATAGATAATTTTTTGGCTTAAAAAAAGAAAAGAAAAGAAGTTCCTTGATTAATAATATCGATCATCAATCAGTATATCCATTTTTCAATATAAAAATGATAATGGATTAAATTATAAAAGAAAATATTTTTGGAGGCTTGGCTTTGTGTTAGCATTTTTTTTTTCATCTCATAGATCATCTTGGATTAAAATTCTATTGAAGATTGGAGAGAAAATTTTGTTATAAATATACAATTCAAAAGTGAATGATTTATATAAAAACTCATAAAAAAGTTATTAGTCTTAATTAATAAGCAAAAGACAATAAATTAAATTAAATGGAGAAATTAATTTAATTGAGTGAAAAAACACTTACCCTCGGAATCCAATAGTCGAAAAGCTAGTTAGTGAAGTTCTATCGATAAAGTTAGATCATAAATCATATATCCAATGAGACATCCAGGTGGGACGTACAGGACACAACACCTTAGAAAGGAAAAAAATAAAATAAAAATCCTATGGGTGTGATATCTAGACAATTAAAAGTAAGGTATATAATAAGAATAGTACTCCTCTCTTATGTTTAAATCTTTTTCCACCTATTTTAGGGTTTTGACTTTTGAAAATGAGCAGACGTGGTACAAGTGACAGAAACTTGCAAATAATTAGGAAAAATAAATAAAGGCGACAAGGCAAAGTCCAAAAGAAATAAGTCATGATGAGTTTTTCAACTTTTTGGAGGTTGAAAGGATAACAAAACGTCCAAATGAAGAGAAAAAAAAGTGCTTGAAAAAACAAAAGAAATAAAAAAGAGAAAAAAAGTTTTTGCTTTTTGTTTTTGTTTCTGTTTCCCCCGAACATTGTGGATATGTGGATAGTTAGTTTAATTAAAAAACAATTATTTTTAGTTTAAAATTTTAAGTTAGTCTGATTTTATCATGAAAATAAAAATTATAAAATAAAAATTAATATGTTATGAATTATTTTGATTATATCCCCTATGTGAAAATAGCATCAATAAATATTATAATCATCCTCCTAATATTTTTTATACTCTTTTGATGCTGCAATAAAGTTGAAAGAAAGTTAGTTTGTCATAAAAAGATAATAAAAAAAATTAAATGCAAATATAATAAGAAATAATCTAATATTTGAAAGTTTAATTTTGATTACAAATATAGTAAATATTTATAGTTGAAAACTTGTGGAAGTTTGAGAGAGCTATTAGACTTGGGTCCACGATATTTAAGTTTGAATATTACAAACTTCCAATGTATTTTTTTTTTTGGGAAAACTTAGTAATGTACACTAGTTCTCTTATTCATAGCCTTGCACAATTGATCAGTAGATAATTTATATAATTTTTATTCCACTTTACATTAAACTTATTATTACTTTATATATTATACTAAACTAATTAAGAACAAATTAACGATTTTGGGTTTTGAAGGAAATGACAATAAAAAGGAATAAACCCAAGGTAAGGTGCATGTGTAGTCCAAGTCCAAGTCAAAACTCCGTGCCCACGAAGAACCCAATGGAGAAAACATACAAAGCAATGTATGAATAAAGCGGACACACGATTATGTGTCTTGCAAAAGGAAAAGTCTCCTAGTCGTGTAGAATTAAGAGGCAAATCGTGTATTGACTCAGCATATGAAGATACGCGGGCGGGAAGCACAACCATGGTTTGTGCGGAAGAAATGACACATATGTGTATGTTATTACTAGGTTATCATTAAAGAGAGAAAGAAAGACACATAGTCAAAACACAAAAGACACGAGATGGAGTACAAATGTGACACGACCGTGGGCCTCAATCAAGCATGCTATGTGTCACCAACTATATGAGGCTCCAAATTGTGTCTCTAATAAAAAGCCATGTGCCATGACATGTACCCATGTGAGCCGGTCGTGTGTATGTCGAACCCTACTTCGCATGCGTTGTAAAGATATAAATAGAAAAGCTAGGGTTTTACACGGGGGTTGCAAACATTAAAAAAAAAAGAAAAAAAGAAAAAAAAACCCGTGTTTTGTAACCAAAAGCATGCAACTCTAAATACTCTTTCTTGATTGAAGGAAAAGTTGAAGCTTTGGTTAAATCATTGTGAGATCTAAATGAGTTCTACTTCTAATATAATTTTTTTTTGGGTATTTTATATTTTTTTCATTATTATTGAATATAATTGTGTTGATTGATTGATTAGGGTTCAAACTAATGGATTGATCTATATAATTTATTGCTAGTTAAAAATTTAAGTCTATAATTACTTGCCTAATCTTACTTGTGGTAGAAACTAAGGATTAATGATTATAGAAAAGTTTTCATTTAATTCCTTAAAGACCATAGAACTAGATTAAATTCTCTAATCTCGTATGTGAATTGCCTAGCTTCACTTATCTTTTTATGGCTTAATGCTATTATTAAATTAAATCTAGATAGCTCATTCTAGGTTGTTTAATAGTTAGAGATTAATTGAATAGCTTATTTTAATTAATGAATAACTAAGGAACGATTACGGATAACATAGCTCATTTTTATTTTATGATGAGTATTCATAAAAAGAATTGATTGATATTTGAATCAATGATCAACGATTGAACCAACTGTGGAGACTATCTTTTGACCAAGGCCTTCAATACTTTTGTTTATCCATTTGCTTAGTTTTGATTTTTGTTACTTTCAATAAACAAAAACCCAGTTTCTCTTTTCTTTTACTTTGAAGCAATCCGAAAAGAGATAAATTGATTGAACTCATTCTCTATGAGATCGACTCTTGCTTACCCTAGCTATAGTTTTGTAATTAAATTTATTAAGGAAAAATAAATAGATAATTTTATTACGGTACGACACGCTACCAAATTTTAGCACCGTTATCGTGGAATTACGTTCAAATTAATTTTTATCTTAATGCTTTGATTATTTCTTATTTTCGTTATCATGTTAGTGTATGACCAATCTGCTTATACGAGTTTACTTGATTTTTGATCTTGAAACGAAAGAACCTTTTACGGATTAAAGAGAGAAGCTAGACAAGTTTCGATAGAATGAACCGAAACATCTTAAAGTGTAACTCGCTACTTCACTAAGCATAAACATAACT